AAAGTAAAAAATTAAAAAAATTATAAGGATAAAAAATATTTTTAATAAAAACGTTGGTTTTTTAACAACTTGAAACTATATAAAATAATATTTTCAAAAACATTAATAATGTTTGTAATAATGAGTGTTCAATGATAAAAGAATCACCCGGTAATTATACTCAATGGCAACGATATACACTCACACTTACAGCAGAACGACTTCCGCAGATTTTTTTTTTAAATATTTATTTTGATGAAATAATAACTTGACTTCAGTAATTTAAAGATCAAATTTTTTTTTTTCTATAAATCTTTAATAATTTTTCATACCTATATATAAAATTGGAAATACCCGTAGATAAAAAAATATTAGAACTCCGCTCAAGATTTAAGACCGTTCAGCAAACGTATTGATTCATCCTATTTTTAAAGTACATAAAAAATGGATATATTCCTATAATTCTTGTAAAAAACTGGCTCGCGAACAGGTTTAAAGTGCAAAACGTCTCTACGTATCCCATTTATATTTTTTCTTATATCCTGGCGATATCCATGTCAGGCCATTTATATGTATGATTTATATATTATATAGTTTGCTCATATGCATCCATTGTATTTGACTAATATTTACCGAAAATYTATTTTGTTACTTGTTATTATCTTGTAATTTTCAACAATAATTACCTTGGGGTGAAATGAAAAATGGTTCTGCAATAGCATTTTTATGCATGTAGTGTGCTGGATATGATAAATATGCGGAAGCTACCGTTGATGGTAACATAGAAAAGCATTCTTGACTTTGTGGCAATTGATGATTTCTACTTCTTTGGTGACTGGTAACCTGGAACTTTTTTTAATTTTTATTATAAGACTACGAATTTAACTTAAACAATAAACAGATTAAAAAAAAACCTGTATAATTTTAGTTTATGATTGTTTGTACCACATGATACCTATTAACATAACATTTATCAACCTATYCTATTTATATACCTATTTCAAAGAACTAAAAACACGTTGATATTATAGAATTAAAAATACAATTTAAATTATCAAAAGTGCGCTTAAAAGGATGTTAGTGTATTAGTATTGTCTTCTCTCTCTGGTCACGTCTAACATTCGCATAGCGTATGTATCCAAAATCATAAATTTAAATAGTTTTAAAGTAATTTTTAAGTATATTACCTATCATACATTATAMAATTTAAAGAGATTAATATTTTTGATTGTTRACGATCATGTTATCAAATATCTTAAAAATTACATTAAAATTACAATTTCCATGTAGAATATAAAGCAGAATTTTAAGAAAAATATAAAATATTTCCAACTCAAAAATATTATTCTCTGTATTTGTTGTAATGTATAATTTTCTTCTTTCTCAAAAACAATAACTAATGATTTTACACGAATTCATACATTTATGCGTTTTTTTTTTTTTTGATTGATATCAAATGCTTCAGCGACTGGGGCCATTGCCTACAAGAAATTACATAATATGTACATTAAAGAGAAAAGTTGTAATACGTTGTGTACTTCTTAACTATACAACTATGTAAAATATGTTAATTTTAAAATCTTAAAACAGAGTTAATAACTGAATATCTTAAATTGATGTATTTAATTTGAAAATTMTATTTTATATTTGAATTAAAAATGCAATCATCACCTGTGATTAATTTTGTTTAGTTATATTTTTACTAGCTACAAAATGTATTTTAAGTTATTATATTATATTATATTTTCCCGTATAAATAAAATAACAAATGAAAAAAAACAAAGGAATTATATTTAATTATAGATACAATCTAAATCTCTATATAAAYTAAAATAATTAGTGAATACATAACATAATTTATTATAATAATTGACCAATTTTATGTTTTTAAAAACTAATATAAATAAATCAGTGTTTTTTTCTCTTTATAGAACAAATTGTTCATTGTGTTGGTATTATTGTTATTGGATGGGAGTGAAGGGGTGAAGTCCTATGGTAATGAGATGGTTAGTTTTTTATGGATCGCTCTTTCGTCCAACATTCGTAGAGTCCCCCTTTTAATATTTTTCAAAATTAAACACTGTTCWTACTTATAAATTATAATTATTTAAAATCGGTCTCAATCGTGGACGCGTGCTAAAGATCAGCTGAATAGGTGTAAGATACTTTTAGTGTCACTTTTTAAGCTACCACCAAAACTGCCTAATAAATTAAAATTTTTCAAACCAATAATAAAATAATAATTATCTTATAAAATATTATGGATAAGTACGTATATTTATACAGGTATCATCTAAAAAAACTTCATAAAACTGTGATGTACGGTGTACCTACCTATTATTTAATTAAATATAGAAATTCAATTTTTTTTTACTAGGTAGTAGGTTAGTATACCTATACCGGCTATACTTATTATAGATTGGGGTAAAAATAAAGTATAAACTGTAGTAAARCACAAAACATTTTTTTGTTTTAGTATTCCCTTATCACTTCTAGTATTTTACGAAATTCAACTAAAAATTTGCTGTTATAACTAATATTAGATATAAGTTAACTGTAGAAACGTTATGTACTTATACTTAAGCAAGGTGTATTATGGCGGAAATATATTTTTTCATTTATAYTTTTTACATAGATTTTTATTATTAGRATGTTAAAATAAAAAATGTAGGTATATCTTGCATATTCAAATAAACGCATTTTACAATTTATTATATTTAATTATTAAACCAGTTTCAGATGGATAAATAGACGTTATTGTTTTCTACTTTAGAAAGAACGTACCGTACTACCGAGTACTGTATATGTGCAGTATTTGGTCAGCACCATAGAAGTTACCCGTGAAGGACTAATTATTTCATTCGAAATCTAAATTTTTTTARGGGACGTAACAAAAATGGCACTGCAGGTTATTGYTTTAAAATATTATTAAAATATCTATGTGAGCCCTAAATATTGTATCGCATATTATAATATGACTTAATATCATCGATCATCGCATTCTAAAACATCTGAAATTAAATTTATTTTCTATAAAATAGTTTAATAAAATGACCAAACTGATATTATTTGTCGCACAAGTGTGTAMATTTTTTTWAATATATAGCTGGAGCATAGTAAATATTTTCAATATTGGTTTAGAATTAAAATATTATTCTTTATTATGTTAGCTGGTTAATTTTATGATAAAGATGAYAAAACTTTTTGAATTTTATATTACCTATMATTTGTATTATTATAGGTATATAAGTATAGTTTTTATCTATGTTTATGTTTAATAATGCATRGTATAGAATACCTCTGAATTTGGCCTGTTGTTCTTTGATCGGAATAATATGTCCTCGATTAAAAATGAAGTTGAGTGTCCGGGAGACGATTTTCTCTGGTTTTCTGGCATTTTATTTCACTTGATTRTTTAAACTATATAATAAATGACGTCGCGTTTCCTACAAGCTTGACGGGCAAATTGTTCACGATTTACTACACCAAAACCCGTAAACGCGCAGGCATTATGTGTTACTTAGTCACCCCCAAAAGACCGTCCCTACGATGCCTCCCATTGGCTGCATTGATCGACACCAGCCCTTTCGTATTGGCTTGGTGGTAGCCATACTGGAACCCTTCATCCTTGCTGTTCCAGGAAGAAAAACGGAGATTTAAGTGTTATGTACTAAACAAGTTAGGATTGTCAGCAATTAGTCGGTAAATAGGTGGGCTGGCTTTGTGAGAGGAGGGTGTTCAAAAAGATTCCTCTCGTTATGAGATTCTCGGCAAAAATTATTTAAGCTATAATATATAAAGAAGAATACCTACTGTAAAATTGAAAATTCACCGTATAGGCAGCTACACAATATCTACGTTCAGTTATAACTTACTACTTACTTATATGTTTTTATTGAAAACCATGATATCAGAATATTTAATATAGTTGTATTCGTAGTATTTGTTAAAATAAATAAATTAAAATAAAAAAAATCTATTGTAGAATTCTAAATTTTCATTAGTTATTGCTTATTGTTTTAATGCCAAACTGCCGTGTTCAAGATTGTTTTTCGACACAAAATAGTTACTATACTATTTACTTATATTCTTAASACACAAAGAAAAAAGCTTAAACAATATTTAACCACAAACACTAACAAGATAATATTAAGTATTTAAATATTAGAAACAAAAGCAAGTCCGGATTAAGAGTCCATTGGGTCTCGAAACACGAGAACGAGACTATCTTAGAATGATACGTTCTCTATAACTTTTAAGCTTAAACCATGCTTCTCACTTCTGAAAAAAAATTATAGATGCGTTTTTAACAATTATACCTATATTTTTTTACTTTTTACAATAYTTAAACACAAATAAAATAATTAATAAAACTATAGCATAATATAAGTATGTAACAATAACTATTAATAACTAATAATTATTATACAAATATTTAAGTATCAAAACAATCTACCATAGAATTCGTCTTAATGCAAATTTAATATACAATAGATTGTTATCCACAACTAACATTTTCACTAATTCACAAACCCTATCAAATTGTTAGCAGTTATCAATAAATTATGAATTTATCGTTTAATAAGGAATCTTTCGTGATATGCATATAATTATGTTTATTTTTAATTTTATRTGTATTTTGAATGTGCATTAAAAAAAATTGTAAATGGAGATGAGTACCTTAACTCTATGGTTTGTAGCCCCAGAAATCATGCCAACCAGAATTCTTTTTAATTCGTGAATAAATATTCTAAACATTTTAAATATTAATTTTAAAAAAAAAATTAAAATAGTGTTGATTTGTAGATTTTTAATTTTTAAAGAGATACTGTATTCGTTGTAATCGTTAAAATTAAATCTCAAGAAGATGTTACGACCGCATGTCTTACTGTAGATTTAAGCAGCATAACAAATTTATGTTCAGTAAAAAACGATTTTATGATTTTATTATCTTTAATATAAGATTTTTTGAATGTATTGATTTACCATTTATGTATTATCAAACATAAAGAGAATAAGAATATTATTTATTATCTATAGTCAGTTTTGAGTTTATTACGATTTTTAAATTGTTAAGTGAGTGGTATTATGTATTTAAAATATTAAAATTTATAATACACCAATGTTTTAATATAAGAGATAAAGATATAAAACTGGTTCTACTGAACACAAATTTGTTGTTGTATACTCATAAGAAATAGACAATATAATAATCGGCATCTTCTAAGTTTCTTTATGTTAATTGACTAACTAAAAAGTTGATCTTTTTAATTACGGGTTTTTGTTTTACGAAAATTTATTTAGAATTATAAAAACTACTCTAAAAGTAGGACATTATATTTTATTTAGTATGAATTATGACCATAAATTATAATTTATTATGGTAAATGGTAGGTATTAGGAAACATATATATTTCAAAAATTTAAGAATTTATTTTTCTAAATGGCATTAATCATTTTTTTTTTATTCATGGTACAGCTTCAACTGCTAAGGTTATTAGCTTGTAACAAAATTAAGTATTTAGTCATAAATCATTATATTATATGAATATATAATAAAATAGATTAGGTAATAATAAAATTATTTATACGCAACTAATGTATATTATATTGTAACTTTATAAATTATATAAAACTAACTAATTATTAATTACTATAAAACATTAAGCAATACCGTTTAATGTTTATTTTTGTGAAAAAAAAACAAATCACTTCCTATATCTGTGTGAAATACAGAAATACTATTAGTTCCTATAATATAATT